CCCCCCCCCCCCCCCCCGTGTCTTTAGGCCATTCCCAAAGGGGGTGGGGACATTCACCATGTTCCTATGCACAATAGAATTGTAATTGCAAATGAGCTGATTCATCTATGTCATGCTTATAACTGTGTCCGAACTGCATCAGGGAACTGCTGCTTTTTCTTTCCTAATCCTTACTATCGTCATTTTCCTCTACTTCTTTTGTATGTTTGTCACACTCTTGTGGCCCGCTATTTCAGGGGTGCCTTGATAGTCGAAGCAGACTTTGTACTGTTGTAGGTAAAGAGGTGAGCAGAGTAAGCCTGATTCCCTATAAGGACTTCTCTGTTGACACCCACCCCTTGGCGCTCACATGACCTTATGCAGTTGCGAGTGCCGTAAAAAAAAACTCCACTAAAACTAAACTACCTGAAACACGATCCATCCTCCGTTGTCGGTCGTAGTGTCGCAGACGACTTCAAGGCCGTTAAGCAGGGTCACCACTTGTCGGGATTTCGACACTTTGACGTCTGCACACGTTATTGGCTGAACAGAAAATACAGTGAAAGAAAACTTAGCCGGTGTGTCTATTAACAAATAATTTTTGGTTCAGGTTAGGAGTTGGGCTGCTTCCACCTAACTTTTTTCCTTTTTTTTTCTCTTTTTTTTTTTTGCAGACTGGAATAGATTATCGTGACAGAAAGATACAGGTGACTCTGTTGAAACTTGTCTTGTGCCTCCTGTAAAACGGCAATGCTTATTATAATAGGTGTACAGCTGTAAATAGATAGCATTAATAGATAGCGTTTGTATAGCGAAATCTCGGCTCAACAGAAAGCTATATGCGCTTCACAATCGATACGATTTACCCCAGCAGACCTGGAAGCATTCTGAAAGAGCCTCAACTTCTCAGGAAGCATACAGTGCAAGTAGCCATTTACAGGCGCTAAAGCACTAACATACTGACAAGATCTTTCTCTGTCTATTGCCTGGTACCCATTCCCACCTGGGTGAAATGAGGAAAATTCGCGTAAAGTGCCTTTCCCAAGAACACAACGTCGGGCCTGTGGCTCAAACCCCCGAACCCGCAAGCTCACGATTACGAGTCCGGTAGCCTAACCATAACAATGTCTATTATAATAGATGTACAATTGTTCAAGTGGGGAGAAACAACATGGCAAGACTTGAGGGATGAAAAACCGAAAAGACATAAATTTAATTGCATGTACTTGAGCTCTAAAACATTAAGATAACTGTTTTCTGGCCACACTTTCCAGCTCAAAGTTAGGTCCAAAGTCTAGCTGCTAGTGTATATAATAATATATAATATATATATATATTATCTATTTGTGGTGGCCGAATTTTGCTATTCAAAAGGCTTTTTAGTGGCTGCATCGATCGACATGCGGTTTTCGCATAAAGATTCTTTAAAATATTCTCCAGATCATGACACCCTTCGTTTTTCAGTTTTGAGACAGTTTTGCTGCAAAAAGCTAAATTTCTTTATTTCGCCGATCGCTTTTGTAGGCCGACGCTTCTGTTTCTGTAATTTTAGAAAATCCGCCCGGTTTGTTGATTTCAAGTCGTACTTCCGTTCGATACTATCGCGCATTGTCCGCAATACTGAACACTATTTTAAGTGTGCGAACCGTATAGATCTAGCCTCATGTTTTCTTTTTTTTTTTTACTTGGTGCTAAATTCGAGTGTGTTCCTTTCGTTTAATGCCCATCATCGCTTTTTCTGGACTCCTTTGTCAAATTCTTTTTCTTGCTACTGGGTACAATCAACACGCTTCTGTCTCAATCCGTTCATCGAACGGGGGCCCAGCTAGTATATATATATATATATATATATATATATATATATATGTGTGTGTGTGTGTGTGTGTGTGTGTGTGTGTGTGTGTGTGTGTGTGTGTGGGTGGTTGGCGGGTGCT